TACTCTTCGAATAACATGAGTTTTACTCAATTTATTCACCTCATGCCATGGTAACTGGCTATCCAGTTCTAGCTTCTATCTCTATTCAATTCTAATGAGCTTCAATTTATTCGCTATATAGAATGAAGGGGATAAAAAATAGAATGGGATTAAGTAGCTTAATTTGACTATTTTAGTTTCCCACCGGTTATTAGTATTCGCATTGGGGCACTAAATAATCTGAATCTATGCCCAGTAAGACTTATTGACATGGGAAATGCTGTCTACTAGAATTTTTTTTCCATTGTTAGGCTCGAACTCAATATCTCTGATTATAAGTGAAGGGAACTTATGCATCTCATCAATCATAGGTGGCGCTCAGAGGCGGACCTATGTAAAGAGAAGAGGGGTCACTAGATCCCGTTAACCTCGATAAAATTCTAGATATATATGTGTGCAGCGGCGGATCCAGGATTTAAATACTATGAGTTCAGCTTTTAAGATTTTTAGCATTGAACCCATCATATTTTTAAAGTTACGGGTTCATATCCACTATTTTTCAATTTTAATGATTTTTTACATATAAATTTTTATACCACGTCGAAAGTTATGGGTTCAGTTGAACCCGTTAGTTGTTCACTACATCTGCCTCTGTATGTGTGAATATATATTGAAAATATCTATATTTTTGTCTGGCACTCTTAAGATCAAAAGTCTGATGAGCCACTGGTTAAACAGTCTGTTCCATGGGACCCACCACCTTCAAATGTTGGGTCCGCCTCTGGAGGTGCTTATTTGATTAATAACAATGCAGAGGTGATGGAAGTGGAATTAAAATTAAGCAATCAAAGGGTATTTTCTTTTCCCTTCATGAAAAATCAACAAACAAAAAGAGAAAAAAATTCGTATAGCCTTTTTATGCATGTGATAATGAATTACTTCTTAGTTCTTACTACCAAACAAAGCATAGTGGAACAGACAATTTGACATTACTATCCACAAATTCACAGTCTGAGTCTTATTCCATGGTGGAGAAGTGATAAGGCTCCACAATAAGCATAATTAATTATCCTCCTTTAATTTAAAAAAAGTTGTCCCCCTTTATTATAACACCAATTCTTGCTTTTTCTTCATTTTATTTTAAGGTCAACACAAATTATATAGTATAGTTAGTCTATAAGCCATGGAAAAATAAATACAAGTAATGCATGTTGTCATTATTATCCCTGCTTAAATTACTATTAATAACTAGACTGCACTTGGTTAATTTTATACATTTGTAAACAAATAAAACTAATTTTGGTAAATTTGCTTATTAAGATTCAATATTTATAAATTGATATAGAGTTCAAGATTAGGGTTTAGGGTTCAAGAGAAGAGAACAAATGCATTCCTTTATCTTCTTATTATGATGTTGAGATAGAAGGGGAACGTTGACGCGCGGTAACAATTTTCGCTGATTGCTATGTCATTCGATTATCATATGTTTTTTACATTAAATATAGTTTGGACCTTCAATTAATTCTGCACATAGCGAGAATATAGCGCATCGATTTCGCATTTATTCTAGTTAATTTATGAGTAATTGTATTTAATTTAAATAGTTAAAACTTTATCTAATTGTTTAAGCGTCAAAAGAATTAATTTGCTAGTAGTAGTACGTTTTAGCTTAGAACATTCTAATTATTTGTTGCATCATGATCATGCCAAAAGAAAATAAAAAAGAGGTAAATATCCCAAGAAGTTTTTGGTGTGCACATATGTTATTTTAGTTATATTATGTCCACTTTTCCCCCTTTATTGTCTTAAAATAATCTTGAAATAATACTACAATTAAAAAAAGAAAAACAAAATCTAATTCTTGTAAACAGAGAAGAAGCTAAGTACGTCACTTTCACGATAATGTTCTTGGCTACCGGTAGGACCACAAGTCAATCTCCAATTGTTGCTATTTTGGTAACTCAAAAAACAAAAAAAAAGGAAATTGTGTTGTTATTAGGGGCGGAGCTATTGTATTAGTTATGGGTGCGGACAAATCCATATCTAATTTTTCTTAGACGTTGTATTTGTATAAGCAAATTCATTAAGTATATATAATTATTTAATTGCGGACCCAATAATTAAAACAAACTACAAGTTCAATGGTGAATTTTCAGAACCTATCCACTTCAAATTCTGGCTTTATCTTAGCTGGCTGCTATTACCAACTCTTTTTGATCATTAAGAATTGCTTTACTATGTTCAATGCTTTATTCAGTTCAATTTTTGTGGGCTAATCATCACAAGCAATGAATTTAAAGGCACTATAATAATAATTTAAATATTGGGAAGTATAGTAAAAGTCTGATGATAGAAACCATGTACTTTATTAATGCTGGTTTTATGTTTCTATCAAAGTGGGTAGTTTGTGTTACTTTCCATTAAAAAAGAGACATCTAAAATTGAAGAAAATTATAAATGACGACAAAGTTCTATGGCCATATTTTCATCAAACAACACTTCTAAATTAAGAAAATGTACTAACAAGTTGACAATAAAAGAATTACCAGTATTTTCTTGGTGTAATAAGATTAAAGTTCACCAACTTGTTTGACACCTTTAGCTTGTGAATAGTCAATTTGACTTGATGAAATTATTTTTTAACTAGCATTAAGGTATAAAAAACTACAGAAGAAATATACAACAAATTGTAATTTTTTGGTGACAAAATAGCCTTCCCCCTCCCAAGATGTATATATTTTTAGCAGCTTCCAAAAATAATAGCCGATAATATATGTGTGTGTGTGCGCGCATTATATTTTATAAATTTTTTGACTAGCAAATACAATTAATTTTGACCGTAAACCAATTTTATATTTTGCCCAATAAAAAAACACATTAAATGCTAGTCAAAGTTCATTTCATTGGGGAATCTTGTAGTTTTGGTTGACTGCCTGAATTTTTACCTTATGGGTGAGACTTCGATTTCCCATCTTCTAATCCCCTCCCTTTTTCTATTCCTCTACACCTGTATATGACAAAATAGTTTAAAAAACTTCACTCCATTTGAATCGAGGTAAACAGATTTTTTTTTTTGTTAAGACGAAGTAAGTTGCAATTCTTCGTATCAGAATAGCGATAAAAGTATTTTGGGATGTTAGTTAATGTGCAAAAGGTTACAATTAGAAGTGTTCCAACCGAACCGGAAAATCGCACTAAACCGAAAATTTAAGCCAAACCAATTAAAAACCCCGACTAGGTTTGGTTTGATTTGGTTTGGTATTGAGTAAAATAACCCGAATCAAACCGACATATAAATATATAAATTTTATTTATATTTTTAAGACTTTATAGTAAATTTTCTTTAGAAAATGTAGAAATACTTGGGATCCTCTCATGTATTAACTTGAAAGCGTAAATTAACGAAAAATTATGTTAGACGACTAAGAAAATAACTATCATGCGTTGCTAAAAAAATTCTCCTATTAGAATATTTTAATAGATCATATGTTTGTCAATTTTTTTCATATTTACTAAACATATATTCACTTATCAAAGCTTTATCTATAATTTTAACAAAATAAGATTAAAATAATATTCATGTAACAAAAAAAACCCGAAAACCTGAAAACCCGACAAAACCGAACCAATCCAAACCGATATAGTTGGTTTGGTTTGGTTTTGATAAAAATCGAACCAACCCGGTATATATACACCCCTAGTTACAATTATTTTGGGAAAGGGGCTGCAAGTTTGTACTAAAAAATTTTAGTAAGTAAAAATACATAGCGTAGTTTTTTCACTAGTACAGAATTTAAGAAATAAAAGAAAACTTTTAGAATTTTTGATTGTAAGCATACCAAAACATTTATGTGACTATAAATTTGTGAAGCTTACACTCTTAAACATACTATAACTTTGTGTGACTATAAAAGTTTTCATTGAAGAAAAATAAAAATACGTCGTTCTTTTTTGACAACTAATAAGAAAATAGTTACAAACAAAGTGAAACGGATATAGTAATTGACAAGATCTGGCAGGGAGCACTTTTCTTTAATCGTCCTTACACACACCAAAAAAAAAAGTCGGCCAGCGCACTAAGCTCCCGCTATGCGCAAGGTTCGGGAAAAGATTGGACCACAAAGATCTATTGTACGCAGCTTACCCTTATATGGACCGAATTTGAATTAATCGAGTCAGTAAGTATCGAATACCAAATAGGTTATACCCCATTCGTTTCAATTTATGTGAACCTGTTTGACTGGGCACGAAGTTTAAGAAAAAATGAAGACTTTTGGAATTTATGGTCATAAACAAGTCAAAAAGGGGCCCAGAGTATTTGTATGGTTATAAAAGCTTCTCATTAAGGATAGAACTGTATGTTTAAACTAAATTGTTACCAAATTTAAAAAAGGATCTTATTTTTTGGAACGTAACAAAAAAGAAATAAGTTCACATAAACCGGAAGAGAGGGCGTACCAAACAAAGTTGACAAGATCTGAAGCATAAACAAAGTTTCTAACCTTGATTGTCATTTTCTCTACCTAAAACAATGCTTAGTAAATTAGTACGGATTAAGTTTTAATCTAAACATGGAAAATCCAAATATATCAGTAGTTTTATCAGATAAAATTTTCCTATCTGACAAAAGAAACTAAGCTAATCTCCTTACACATGTCAAAATATTATAGATGCCCTTTAACTTTTCTCTCTGTTCTGATTCCCCTGTCACTAAAACCAAACTGTCAAGCATATATTCATCATTGAATAACAAGTTAGGTGAAGTCAGAATTTTAAGTTTATGGGTTCGGAATTCTAATTATTTTAAGTTATTGAGTTTTAAATTAATAATTTATACTTATGCAATGATTTGTTTAAGACAGGGTTCAAATCAGAGGCGGACCCAAGATTTTAAGGCGGCGGGGCACCATTATTTGCTCGACCAGTACCTAAAGACTTTTGTGTTTAGGGTGCCAACTTATTTATATAATCATTTTCAAGATATATATATATATATATATACAAGATTTTTGTCAGAAGTTTACGGGTCCGGTGACCCATCAATGTAAGCCACTGTAGCAAAAACTGGTACAGTTTCTCATGATTCATGAATCCCATTTTCAATATAGGAGAAATGTCCTCAATCTTGACAAGGACAGTTTGGTAAATTTGGTACATGTAGCTGTGTAGCAGCAGTTTCAGTTCACTGTTCACTGTCTTCACTTGTGTTCTAAGTTCCTTACCTGCAAAGTGTACAACTGTATACAAAGAGAGAAAAGAAAGCACCCCTTTTACTGAAACATGTAATAATTGGCTAGTAGCTATAGGCTATAGCTTCTTACTATAACTGTATCTTCCTCAAAGTTTGTTCCTAGGATTCACTTTTGTAGTAAACTAAGAAGCAACTACTTTCTGCATCGTGCTTCTTGTCTTATTTTACTGGGAGAAACTTTACTTTGAGAAAGAAAGATTTCTATTTAGATTAGTTTCTTAGTAAAAGATAAGACAAGAAGCAAGGGCGTAGCAGCTGCGCGAAGTTGCGCCTTAGCGCATCCGTTTTCTTGCTCGTTAGCACCCCTTACTCATAGTAAAGCAACTTTTCGAGAGCTGGATTCGTGAAAATAGAGGATCTCCACTTGACTTATAGCAGCGTAAAAAAATCTAGTCAAAGGAGAAACAGGGGAAATGGCTTATTCTGTGTCAACCTAAGCCCGATTATTCTGACCAAGTGACAGTAAAAATATTGACTAATTCATAGTATTCTTGGTTTGTGGGTGTCTTTGATTTGGTTTTATTGTTCAGTTTTTGTATATGGGGTTTTGCTAAAAAGGCTGTTGGTTTATTGACCGAAGAATTAAAGAGTATTGAAAGTATGTCTTTGAAGAGCAGAGGAGTAGCAGAAAGAACTTCAAGAAGTGTAGTATCTCAAAAATGGAGTCTTTTACTTTGTCTTGGTAGTTTTTGTGCTGGAATGCTCTTTACAACCAGGTAAAGTTATTCACTTTTTGAGAAAGATTACATTTTTATACTGATATTATCTCTGGGAATTGGATTATTTTTGTATCTTCACTTTTCTTGATTGGATATGGGATCTTTACATCTTCAGTTATTTGGAATAGAGTTTAACAGTTTAATAGTGTATAATTCAATCATGAATCACCTAAAAGATAACTACGGGTAACTGTCCTTAAAAGATAAGTAACCTAGAAAACAAGGCGGGTTATCTAAGATAACAGTGTAAATATAAGTTAAATCCTTTGGAATAATCTTGAAGGGAGCCTTGGAGCAACGGTAAAGTTGTCTCTTCCGTGTGACCTATATGTCACGGGTTCGAGCCGTGGAAGCGGCTACTGATGCTTGCATCAGGGTAAGTTGGCTACATCACACCCTTTGGGGTGCGGTCCTTCCCCGAACCCTGTGTGAATGCGGATGCTTCGTGCACGGGGCCCTTTGGAATAATCTTGTTCTATGTCTTAGCTTTAAGTGCTAGTCAAATGTATTTTAGTGTTTGATATTTTTAGGTTTTCTGTTTGATTTGTGTGTTTTCTTTTTGGTTTACTAGATTTGTACTGAGATTCAGGTTTAACAACTTTTTGAACTTTGTAACTTCACATTTTATAATTTTGTCCGTGCAGTATCTTTTGATGACCAGTTGTGATTTTTTTACATTTTATTACATGAAAGCTTAAAGCAGTGTTACTTTTGGCTTTCCCCTGTTCTTGCAGCTGTTGTAGTTAACCATACACTCTAACTCATTCTGGCTACTGCTACTAGGAGTGACTGATAAATCATGTTTTCTTTCTTCTTTGGCATAATACATAAACAGGCCCTCAAATTTGGCCTCAGCTGGCAAGTATACCCTCCAATTATGGGTGTGCACAAGTAGGCACCTCAACTTGTCTCCACTCCAACTTACAAAATGATCATCTAGACACCTTCAAAATTTATGTGCCATATCAGCATTTGTGTTTACATGTTCAACTTTATACAAGTTGAGGTGCTTACTTGTGCACACCCAAAGTCGGAAGGCATACTTGCCAGCTGAAGGCCAAGTTTGAGGGCCTATTTATGTATTGTCTTTTTCTTTTGTTGTCAAGAATAGTGCAATACTGCTATGATTCCACACCTAAACAAGTATCTAAAAATTGTAATGGAAAAAAAATAGATGTATTGACTTTACATATAAAGGAGGAGAGATTAATTATTCCAAAAGAGAATTAACTTATATACACAGACAGTGTAAATCCTTTTTACACTATTTTGTTAACTTGTAGCAAGTAACCTGTCTGATTTTTCAAGTTTCTCATCCCACTTGTTATCGATGGTTATCTTAATTTGTCTTTTATGTGATCTGATAATGACAAAATGATTTTACACTATTAGTGTATAGAAGAAGGGGAACCTTGGCGTAACTGGTAAAGTTGTTGCTATGTGACCAGGAGGTCACGGGTTCAAGTCGTGGAAATACCCTCTTGCAGAAATGCAGAGTACGATTGCGTATAATAGACCTTTGTGGTCTGGCCCTTTCCTGGACCCCGCGCATAGCGGGAGCTTAGTACTATCAAAAGTTCAACTCCTTTGGAAAAAGCATCTGAGTGTATGCAACCATATGTTGCATGTGGTTACAAATATCACAGAGAATGAACATGTTTTGGATATCAGTTCTTTAGGATTAGTGATGATTTGACAATAATGCAAGCATTTCTTGTTGCAGAATGTGGATCATTCCTGAAATAAAAAGTGGTATTGCAAGAACAACCACAGTTGAAGCTGAAAAATTGAAGTTAGTTTCAGAAGGATGCATTACCAAATTTGTAAGTATTTCTAATGCTAAGTAAATAGAAAATAATCTCCAACTTGTAACTTAGTTTAATTTCTTGTTTATTTCCAACTTAACATCTTAATTTCATCTTATTTTATTGCAGCAGAAACATGTAAAGCTGGTATCTAAAGATATTTTTGGGAAGGTTTCTAAGACACATCATGCTATTCAGTGAGTTTTCCCTTTAATTTTTGTTTTTTTCTTCTTATGTTTTGACAAGCAGTAACAGAAACTTTGCATTAGATATGATAAAGATTGTTTTGAATGCATCAATATTTTCATATCTTATATAGGACATTAGACAAAACCATTTCAAATTTGGAGATGGATTTGGCTGCAGCAAAGGCAGCACAGGAGTCGATTCTTAGCGGCGCTCCAATATCAGAAGAGATAAAAAAGGATGATTCAACAAGAAAAAGAAAATATTTTATGGTGGTAGGAATAAATACTGCATTTAGTAGCAGAAAAAGAAGGGATTCAGTTCGCGCTACATGGATGCCACAAGGTTTTTAAAACCGCGCCTATCCCTTATCATTCCGTCCTAGTTTCTTTAACTCGTCTCGTGCAAGCATTTGCTTTATTTGATATTTAACATGACGAAACAGGCGAAAAAAGGAGGAAGCTAGAAGAAGAGAAAGGAATAATCATTCGCTTCGTCATTGGTCATGGGTGGGGAATTTTCTTCTGCTAAACATTCTAAATTGAATGATATATTTGAGCGCTTGTCTAGTTCATGTAGCTAGGATCTTTTAATCACTTCACTCAAATTCTGTTGCTATGTATAAAATTATATACATAGATATTCTAATTCTGCCTCAATATTTTCATACATCAAATCTTTGTTGCCCGGACTCTCCAGGACAGCTGCCGCACTCTTGTCAGATCCTCCAAAAATCCACTACTTAGGAGGATCTGACGTGCACCCATCGACATTTTCGTAGAGTCGAGCAACATAATATCAACTCTTGTTAGTAATCATGTTGTTAATATTTATAGCAGCATAAGCTTTTAACATTCTATCTAAGAAGCTGTAAACTCATTGTACAGTGCCACAGTAGGGGGAATATTAGACAGAGCTATTGAAGCTGAGGACAAGAAACATGGTGATTTCTTGAGGCTGGTAATATATTTTGTCTCTGATTTACTGCAATAATTTCACTTTATGTATTCATACGTAAAAGACGATACATCAGTTTTGCTACCTTTTAAACAGGATCATATTGAGGGTTATCTTGAATTGTCAGCCAAAACAAAGACTTATTTTGCCACTGCTGTTAACTTGTGGGATGCAGAGTATTACATAAAAGTTGATGATGATGTTCATGTCAATATAGGTAACCAAATATTTTTTCGTAATTTTTTTTAATGTTATATTGAGATTTCAAGACTTGTTACAGCAAATGAAACTGTCTCTCAATGTTACATGACTAGTTTTATATTTATTGCAGCTACATTAGGGGAAACATTAGCAAGGCATCGCAAGAAACCACGTATATATATCGGGTGCATGAAATCTGGTCCTGTCCTCTCGCGGAAGTAAGGACATTTAATTTTTCTTTCTGTAAATTGAATCTTGAATTTTCAATTTGTCGACATTACATTGTTTTGAATCACAGGGGTGTAAGATACCATGAACCAGAATATTGGAAATTCGGAGATAAGTATTTTCGTCATGCTACTGGACAAATATATGCCATTTCAAAAGACTTGGCTACTTATATATCAGTAAACCAGTTAAGTATCTTTTTCTCTTAATATTTGTAATCCATTTCTAGTAGTTTTTTTTTCCTTCTTTTCTTTTCCACTTACCTGTGTATAATCTTCTTGATATTTAAAGGCATGTACTTCATAAGTATACCAATGAGGATGTGTCATTGGGAGCTTGGTTTATTGGACTTGATGTGCAGCATATCGATGATCGCAGATTGTGTTGTGGAACTCCACCTGGTAAATCATTTTTACAGAAATAGTCTAAGATTTGCTATGTGATATTGTCCGTTATGGGCCTAGGCCCTGACGCGTTTTAAATCCGTGAGGGCCTAGGCCCAAAACAGACAATTTTAGCTTATTTCTACCTTCAAATGTTGGCTATGAAATCTTAGAAGTTTGACATAAAGTTGGAAAATGAAGGTTCTTAGCAAGCTTCTTCAATTACATGATCTGAATTTTTTCCTCAGACATGGTCCCATAATATCATATATTAGTGCCTCCAATATTGTCTTTACTCATAGGCTCTGATGCAATATGTGTGAACTGCAAAAAAATCAAAACCTTCTCTTAAAAGCTATGTTGCTTGGACTCTTCAAAAATTCGGTCAGGTACATGTCAGGTCCTCAAAAAGTAATGCATTTTCGGAAAATCTAACACAGGTGCGACACATTTTGGAGAATCTGAGCAACATAGCTTACATGGGGTGTGACTGTGTCGATGTTTGACGAATCCAAGATCCAAAGACGAATCCAGGATCTAAAGTTAGTTGGTTCAGAATGAGCATGAATGTGTCCTAAACTGACTCTAGACCGAGATAGTTAATGCTAGCAAAATGCTGTAAAAAATGCAGTTAGTTTCCTTTGTTTGTTACCAAATTTGATACAAAACGAAACTACTTTTTGATGCAGACTGTGAATGGAAGGCACAAGCAGGCAACATCTGTGTAGCATCATTTGACTGGACATGCAGTGGGATATGCAGGTCTGTTGACAGGATAAAAGAGGTCCATCGCCGTTGTGGCGAGGGAGAGAATGCACTATGGAAAGCTGCATTCTGAGGACATCAGTTTCTTTCAAACACGGGATGGCGAAATAGGTCTATTGACATATCAATATCCCACATTCATTTGCTCCGGAATACAAATTACACATACGAATAACTCAGAGGCGAATCCAAGATATAAAGTTAGTGGGTTCAGAATAAGTGTGATCATATGTATACATTTTATGCTTTTTTCCATTTGCATGTGTATACATAGTTCAAGTTGAAGGTATAGTGGGTTCGGTTGAACCCATAGAACCTGCTCTAAATCTGCAAGATGTGCATAAAGAGAGATCTGCGTCGTGCGGTGGGAGAGACAAAGATTAAAAATAGATGGCCTAGCCTTAGCTGTGGGGAAATGTTATCCATTTTTGTAGAGAATAATGGCTGCCAAAGCAGTTGCGAGCAGAAATGCTGATAAGTAGGCCATAAAGTATGTCATGGTTTACTGGATTGTAAAATCTTAATAAGTGTTCAAATCATATTTTTTCTGGTCTTGTTTCTGGCATTACACCAACTTGTTCTGGCCTTTTGTATTTTCATAATGTAGTGTTGATTTCACATGGCATATATCAGTCCAATAATGCAACTGGAATGAATTGTTAGGGTGCTCCAAAAATTTATTTTATCAGTTTAAGTTAACTCATAATGCATCTAATGGTGAGGCTTAGTGGTCGATAAAGTAGTTGGGAACCATGATGTCTCTGGTTCAAATCCCAGGCAAAACCACTAGGTGATTTCTTCCCATATATCCAAGTCTTTGGTGAACAGAGTTATCCAGTGGTTATGCTGGTGGGTGATAGCAGGTAACTCGTGAAATTAGTCAAGGTGCTGATGAGATATAGTAGGTAACCTATATAATTAGTCAAGGTGCTGGTGGGAGCTAGCAGGTAACCCGTGGAACTAGTCAAGGTGCTGGTGGGAGATACCAGGTAACTCATGGAATTAGTCAAGGTGTGCACAAGTTGATCCGGACATGAGGTTCTAAGGTTTCACTGTCTATCTCTGTTGCCAGAATTAGTGAACATGCTTAGTGAAACAAGAAATTAGTGAATGATATTGCTGGTAATTCACTCAAAGTTTGTAGGTAAGGCATCTATTTAGAAAGAAGCAAGCATATTAAGTTGACATCTCAACTAATGCTTGGTGGCAATATTCACAGGCAAGGCATCTATTTAGAAAGAAGCAAGTATTAACTTGACATCTCAACTAATGCTTTGGTGGCAATATTCACTACATGTTATATATGCTACATTTGTCTAAACAAAAACATGGTAACTAATTTCTTTAACTAAAGCATATACATAAGATTTCCTTCATTTGAAACCTTTTGAAGAGCTTGAGAAGAATAAAGCCTTTGCATAGTCAACAACATTCTAAAAAAGTTACAACAACATGACATACACAATGCAATCTCATAAGTGAAATTTGAGAGGATAGAGAGGTTATTTTCAACATACGGAAAAGCAAAATCACAGCATAATCTATATATATATATATATTATTATAAAAGTGGGAAGCCCTAAACTAAAAAGTTGAATTACTTTAATACCCCTCTAAAATTTAATAATACTCTACTTCTATTATTAAAAAAACCCACCCTTACATAATTCTTCACCAACAGACACAACCACTCGATAATTCTCATGAACATTATTTCTACACTATTTTCTTACCCAACAACTAGCATTTCAGAAGTAACCAAATTTGTTTTTTAAAAAAAAACCTTCTGTATCGACCACAATCTTCTATGTGTTGTCATGTACCCAAATGAACCTTCATGATATGGACGTATCGAAGAATTCTATTATGATATATAAAATAAAAAGTGTTGTTTTACACAAAGTCCAAGAGATGAATATTACTAAGTGGCTCTCCTATTCTTGTTTTCACTCTGCAATAGAGTCGGTGCAAGAAAACAAAAGCGTCATTTCATGGTTTGCCTGAAGATCATGTCTTTGGATTTCCAAAAGAAGGAGATTTGGAGTTTTTTCATGATCTGCTTTCCATTTGATTTTAAATTCATGAGATATGGATCAATGCTTCAAGTTTGTTATCATGTAGCGGTGAAAAACTTTTAATAATTTCCTGAAAATTGAATCAAAATTATCACACGTTGCAAAGTGATATAACAAGTTAGAAGGAAAAAGGGAAAAAGGATGTATATTCAAATTTGTCAGGGGTTATAACAATCAATTTTGAGTAAAAATGCACATAGTGGGCGTCAACGTTCTTTACTTGTCGGAGAAAATGATGGACAAACCATCCTTGTATGCAAATCTTCCTATTACATAAGCAATTTTGGGATTTATTTTATTGTAGTTCAATAATAAATTTAAAACACTCACTAATTCATAGGCATTAACACAAATATTGATCCATTTAGCTAACTTTATGTAACATACAAAAATTAATACTTTACTGGATATATTTTCAGGCGGATCCAGGATTTAAGGTTAATGGGTTCCTACACCGATCTTAACTTAATATACAATAGTTTATGAGTTCACAATATGATATTTATAGATATTTAATGAATTTCTTGGTATATATACAAGGTATAAACAAAAGCTATGTACTGGGTTCCGATGAACCCGATCCTTGTGCTCTAGATCCGCCCCGCCCTAAGTTTAAACTGTGGCCAATCCCTACTTTCAAACTTCAAAATTAATGGAAAGCATGAACTATATATATGGAAGATATGATAGCATTTTATGTTTCAAAAGGATTCTCTTAGCAGATGACGTATTTATTAGTTGACAACAATGGGGAAATAAGAGTATGTATTACCTTATCTGCTATGAAGCCAGATTCATTCTTCGTTATAGGTTAGAAGGAATGGTCTAACTTTATTGATCTATGCATCTTTAAAAAGATAACTAGATACTCCAAACATTTTGATAAGTTAAATATTGTAGGTGTATGCGATGGTGCTTAGTCCTTCTGATATATTAAATACCGACTCTTAACTCATTTTTCACAATATTAAAATATCCTTAGCTTTGTGAGTTTTGTATGGAGAAAATATTTTTTATAAAATATCTTGTGAGAAATATTTATTTTAAAAAATAAGTAACTGTAGGTGTTGTTTGCAATCTGATTTTTTACCCTTATATGATATTGTATTTAGACTTGATATAAATAGGAGTGTATTTTAAGGCGAAAAGTGGTAGATAGCGCAACGCGCAAATGTAGCGTGTACTTAGTGAAGAAATAATAGATAAAAGGGAAGATAAAAAATTAATACTCTTTATGGTTTAATGTATGTGTCTTATTTTTTTTTTTTTTTAAAATGCCTCTTTATTTCCTAATTCTTTAGCTCCGAGTCGACATTCTACATGACATATTTAAAATCACACAATTTAAGGGCATATCTATACATTACGTCCATCTTTAGTTTATGACCACAAATTTCAAAAGTGTTCTTTATTTTTTTTTTTTAGCTCCGTGCCCTGTCAAACTAAGACTATAATTAAGTAAAATATTTATTATTTAGTATGAGGACTTGGACGAAGGATCATTTTGCCGCGAGATGTTTGACATTATTATTTTAAAAAAAATATTGGCTCCTTTAGCCAACATCTTCTATATGAGTAGGTTTTACTCGGGGATGGAGTTATTGTTTGGCTTTAAGTTAATCGTCTGTTATTGAACGACTAAAATATCTTTGAAACATTGATCGACTTTTATAACCTTAAATATTTGTATAATTTAAGGATATAATTGTAAATGACCTAAGGCTAAAATTCTTTTCCTATTTAAATTGCACATACATCGAGCAACAAGAAAAAAGTGTTAAGGTGTCATACTCCAATCCAAATTAATTTTGGAATCATGTTCCCGCACCAAGCCGCTACTACCCTCCTCTCCGATATTTTACAACCAAAAGAAAACACCAAGAAATAAAGAAAATCCAAAATACTCTTATTCTCTATGTAAAGCTTTTTGCTTACTTCTTCTTTGGACAGCAGATACTTCGTATCTTCTTCTTTTTGGACGCAAATACATTGTTCAGTTATTTTTTCCCAGTTTGTGTGGGATTTAGATTTATTAATTATAAAAAAGTAATAGATTGTTGGAACGTTAAAGTCGCAATGTCATAGTTTATTTCAAATCCTAATTATCAGTTAATCATCATTCCATAAATTTAAATATTTTTTAAAGGGTTAAAGAGTTGATCAATATCTCAATATAATTATACTTGATTTTTAATCATATGAATCACTCATATATAAGAAGCTAAATTAAAAAAATAATCCTCAGATGCTACCATTATAATAAGATAGAGATACACATATAAATACATTACACACATAAATACATTAAAGTTGTGCTCTTAGTACCTAAATAAGAGAAGATGAGAGGAATAGTACGAGCAACTAGATCGTTGTTATATAATCATTTAATTGAGACCAAAAAATTTATGAGACCCCACCTTTGATGAGTATAATAATTTCTTTTCCTTTATAATTTATGTGGAACTTTTGTGGACCAATAAGCTATCACACGTGCCTTTCTCATCAGAGCTTGGTTTCTCAAGCCAAAAAATGACTGATATCTTTAAAAATATATTTAGTAAATATTTTCAATTCGTTTTATATTTATAATAGCAATAAATAAATTATATGATCGATCAAATCCCTAATGTTAGATTATTTATCATCACATATTTTTCAAATGGGCAAGAAGAATAAAGGAATATATACCAAGACACCATGTTTAAAGGGGTATGTGGATACGATCTAATAACATTTCTTGAACCTCATAAAATAAATTTAATGCAATTAAAAATAGTATTACATAATATTGATGTTTGTGATTGTCTAAGGATAACGTGCAAAGCACGTTCATAGAGACAAGTACTATATTAAAAGCACGAAGGCCCTTAGCGAAATGTCGTTCGTCCTTTTTACCCTTTAAAAATAGTTTTTTATGGGATAAAATTGTAATTTAAGTTTCTTTCCTAATATTTAGGACTTTAAATTCAATTATTTTCCTTATTGAACTACGTAAAAATATCCTAATATTTAGGGAGGAGTTTGTGGAGGTTGCTATATATGTATATATATATTATAAAATAGAGAGTTTTCAATTGTTTCCAATAATAAATACACGTTAAGATATAATTTTTTTACTCTAAAACACATGAAATAGTAGTACATTCTCGAAGCACAATTATATAACAACATGGAACACATCCGAATTCGTGATTTAAATGATTCCAAGTAATTGGGTATTAGCTTATCTGTTAAGCTGAGTAATTATTGAAAAGTTAAAGTCACAAATTCTCAGTTTACTTCAAAATTCTAAATAGTAGTTCGTATATAATTTTAAAAAGTAACTTTGTCATATTAACACTTTATTTCATATAAATCATTTCCCATTTGTACTCTGTAACATAATTTTTTTTTTTGTAAATGAAAATAATAATATTATTCATCTATATTATATCAATTATATATTTGATCTGTTATACAAGTAATTAAACATAATTTTAATGCTTTTATTTAT